ACTCAGTGTATATATATATATATAAATAATATACACACACACACACACACACACACACACTAGAGAGAAATATGATAGATGTATATGAACTCAATATTTGACCTGAAGTTGTGAAAGAACATTTTGGCCCAGATATAATTTCCAAGGTATTAAAAGAGCTTAAAGACTGCACTAGTAAACCCCCTCACTAAACATTTTTGTGAGCCTAAGAGTAGTTGGCAGTGCCAGAACACTAAATATAGCACTACCCAGTTTCAAAGAGACTGATTAAAGTACTCAGTGTTTGAATGAATAGCTACAAATAATTTTAAAGCAAAACAACTTGATATGGTTCCTCTCAATTCAATATAAATGTTCTTGCACTTTCTCTCACATCAACAATATACTGTTTTGTCTCTGCTGAAGCCAGAGGCAGATTTATCAAATGGCACAAAAGGTGTGCACCATGGGCTCCTTATCTGGGGGGAGGGCAAACTCTAAATCAAAAATTTTCATATACATGTTTTATATCTTCTGAAACATGTATATGACATATTATTTTGTTTATTTTTCATTTATTACAGAAAGAGCAATGTTTGAGATTTAGACTTCATCTAAATGCAATTCATATCACTATACTTTAACCCTTTTGCTTCAGATAAACAAGTTGTCATTCATTGAAACATCTTAGTACAGCTTATCTTCTATTTCATATACCAATTTAACAGCACCTTTTGGGCAACATAAAAATTAAATATATTTGAAAGAACATAATTTCAGTTTATTTTTACATTTCAATACTTCATAAACAACACTAGTTGTGTCAACCCTCCTAGATTTGCTGGGAGAATACCAGAATCGTATATATTCTCCTGGCTCCTGGAAGGATTGCCAAATAACACAAATCCTCTAAATAAAAATTTTGTTTCCAAATCAAAACATTTTTATGTCCCATAAAAATAAATAAATAGTTACAGAAAAAGAATGTATTACACATATAAGCTAAAATTATATATTTTTTTAAAAATAACAAAGTAGACATTCTAATATAATGGAAATGGTGAATATAGTTGTTGTCTTAGGACAGTACTAGCAAGTATGCATATTTTACTTTTCTTAGAGAAATTTCATAACTGCATTATACACATGCCATTTTAACAAAGTAATAAACAAAAATATAAACTTGTATCACTATGATAGCTAACAAAACTAAAAATAGCACTAAAATGACACATTCAGTCCATTTTACCCTCAATGCATGCCTTCCAATAGAAAAAAGGCTAAAAAAATATCTGTAAAATGTTACTTTATCAGTAGGTTATTTTGTGTTACTATCATTTTTTAAGAGCTGCATTGCTTAACATTGGTTGGTTAGGGAGTATCTTGTTTAACTAGTTTTGAGAACCAATATGGCTTGTTGCTGTTGAGAATCTGGCAAGCTAGGTAGGTCTACTACTAGTATTACTGTTCTGCTTATCTGTGGCACATCTATTAGTGTTACAAAATTTAATTTTGCCAATAATGAGAAAAAAAACAGCTCTTTCTCTCCTGTAATAAAGAAAAATAACTTATTTCAACCTATGTTTTTGCATTACAGCTTCATCAGGCTAGACTTAAGTTTTGGTATTGCTGAATGTTTAGCTGGCATAGTGATAATTTGACCTGTAAGGGAAATGTGTTTTACCAGAAAATACAAAAAGTTATCATTCTGATTGGTTCCAAATGGCTAATTAAGAAAATATCCAGCAATATTCTCTAGTTATATGGTGGGCAAAGAATGCTTTATCACAAGGTATCCTGTTAGTTGTGAGATATTAAGTAAATTAGTCAAAACATTGATACAATATAATATAAAAATGTTTTGGGACAACATGTGACATATTGGTCCATCTCAGTTGTTCCATCCTCTAAGCCAAACTAAAACATGAAAAAAAATCTTAAAGACAGCCCTTATCACTCATATACTTATCAAGCTTTCTCTTAAACTCATTTAAATTTACTGCCTCCAGAACACCCAAAGACTAACCACCCTGTGAGAAAAATAAAACTGTCTTAGCTGAAGATGACTCCTATCCTGCCAAAATTTATATTTGTGTCCCCTAGTCCATCAACACTCTCAATTCCCTCTACAATCTTAAACACCTCAATCAGATCCCCTCTAACTCTTCTTTTTTGAAGAGAAAATAATTTGAAAGAGTTCAACCTCTCCTCATATGACAACCCCTACATACCAGGCATCATTCTATTAACCCTTCTCTGAACCCTTTCCAACAATTCATTGTCCTTTCTAAGGTAAGGAGCACAAGAGAGAACACAATACTTCAAATGTGGCCTAACCATTGACCTATATAATGAAATTATAACCTCTTTAATCTCTTATTCAATATTTCTGTAGATACAACCTAAAATCCTATTTGTCCTAACAATAGCAACAGCACACTGATCAACCATTATACCAAGATCCCTTCCTTTCATGACACTGTTAAGGTTATTCCCATCCAAATTATACTTATAATTCAAATTATGATAACCCACAAGCATTATCTTGCATTTATTATAATTAAATCCTATTTGCCATTTATTTGCCAAACATACTAAGTGATCTAAATCATTTTGTATATCAGCAGCATCCTCTTCATAGCTAACAACACCAATGACCTTAATATCATCTGCAAATTTATGTCACTGATGCAAGTCAAAAAGATCAAAGGATCTAATACTGAGCCCTGAGGTACTCCACTTGTAACATTATTCCAACTTGACTGAACTCCATTTGTTTACAACCCTTCTGCTTTCTTCCATCCAACCACTCTTCTAGCCAATTTTATAACTTATCCCCCACATCTATACTTTTTTTTTGTACAACCCTTTTATGCGGCATCTTGTCAAATACTTCCTGAAAATCCAGATACATCAAATCTACACCTTTAACCTCATCTACATAACCAGTAATATTTTAATAGAATATCAAAAGATTTGTAAGGCAAGATTATCTGTTAGTGAAACCATGTTGACTATCCAATAAAATTCTAAACTTTGTTAAATGGCTTTGCAAAGCATCTTTTATCAGACTTTCCAAAACTTTTTTCACAATTGATGTACGACTAATAGGCTTATAATTACTGGGACAATTTTATCACCTCCCTTGAAGATGAAAAGAGGAGTGACATTAGCTAACTTCTAATCTTCTGGTACCTGCTCACTTTTCAAGGACCTACATATTCAGTTCCTAACCTTCTTCAAAGTCCTTGGGGAAATACTATCTCAGCATCTGGCCCAGGAGCCTTGTTGTTTTTAAACTTCCCAATTTTTTCTTAAAAAGCTCAGAATTAATGTATTCATCTTGTTTCCATCTATCAACTATTATTCAACATGTGGAATACTACTTAAAATTAAATCTTCGTTAGCAAAGACTGAAGAAAAATCTAAATTTAATAACCCAGCCATCTCATAATCATCAGATACAATCCTTCCTTTACCATCCCTCAAGAGTCCTAATTCAGTTATTGTGAGTGTTACATTATAATGTAAATTGTAATAATTATGTAAACTTAACCATAAACACATTACTTATCATTTAACTTTTAAGTTAAAAAATAAAATACGTTATAATTTATAAGTTTATAGTATAAATAAAAACAAAAACAAAAAACGCAGATCTACTTCTTAATAATCTTAAACGTACGAACCAAGGAAGTCAATATTCGTAAGAAATATTACACTTTTCGATTTTCAAATTTCAACAAACACCACACCCTTAGTAATACTAATAGTAATAGTGGTCAGTTTAGCCTGATTTCAGTTTTGAAAACGTTTGGTCAGTAAGAATAAAATTAATTATAAAGCCCACATTAAAACAAACAAATTATACTTCAAACCATAAAATTCAATTAATCATATGACGAATATACTCACAAGCGAAGATGGTCCAATTACACTACTTATGACCAATATAGTTTAAAACGGAAATTCTCTTACGAATGCACTCGTAAATGCTAGACTAAAACAATAATTAAACCACAAATAACCCTCTGGTGGAAATAAATAAAACGTGAGATGAAGCTAACCTGCACTTTATAGGTTTGCGTACAAAGTTTAGTAATAAATATTGATTAAAGCTGTTTATACACTTTATGAACAATATGGATTTTATATATTAAATATAAAATAATCATCTTTTAATTTTTCCACAGTTTTTAATTAGTTGGAATTATTTCCTTTATAACGGTCCCCTAGTGGTAGTGGTAAGTTTATGGATTTCAAAATGGTTTCGATTCCCCGCATTGGACAGGACGCAGATAGTTGATTGTGTAGGTTTATAATGTGAAAGTATTAGGAGTAAAAAGTCATGTTTAAAAAGAAATTACGACAAACATTTATCGTGAAACATTTTGTGAATCTATCTAAAGGTAGTTTAACTTCACGTCCATGGCTCTGTATGAAATCAGCTCCCAATATGCATTCTTCATCAATATCAATTACTCACACATCAAGAGATTCAGAGTAGTTTCCCTACAGTCAGAGTAACTTTCCTTTTGCTGGAACTTCGTTTTAACATATTGTCCGCAACAATCAAACTTCTTTCTTCATTTCTAGTGGCAATTTCCATTTTTCATTAACAAATTGAGCTGAATAGTTGTGGCTGTAAAACCACTGTCAATCAGCATAAAGCAATGTTTTCCATCAATATGCCCATGGCTTCGAGGACGATTTTTCTAGTTACTTATTTAGGATATAGGGCCGTATCAAGGGTTGTGCGAACTGTGCATCCGCACAGAATGCCAACCCATAGGGGATGCAAATTTGCATCTTTGAAAGTAAGGATAGATTACATTTCTTTTGAGGACAGAGGTGGAATCTATATCTCACACGGATCGTAAACAGTGATCAGTAAGGTCGTGTAGGGATAGACAGAGTATTTCCATATGAACTACGTTTCATTAATCCAACTAATTTTTGTTTTCTTTGGTTGTTCTTTTGTTTTGGCTGGGCTTTGTTTCTTTGTTTTAATAACAGCTGTTGATTTGTACAGTCTCGGTTATAATGGACTTGTTCCAATATCCATGACAGTTACTTTTTTCTGGTATCTTTATTCCATACAAGCCTTTGCCAATAGTTCCTGATAATACGTCTCTTTAAGTTGCACTTAAAACAGTTATTTTCTCGTGGCTTATATCATTCATCTTGTATAACTAGCTCTCTGATTAATTCTTTCAAATCTTCTAGACTATTTTTAAGGGGATTTGATGCTTCAATACTACAGGATCTGATGTTCCCATCACCTCTTGATGATTCTTTTAATACATGTATCCAAAGAACCTGAGAACTTCCCAATCCTTAGGCTTCTTGGGTTCTCTGATTGATAAACTACCTGTAGCCATGCTGCTCTCTGTTGTCCCTGATGAACGACTGAAACTAAAAACATACTCTACGACCCAGCGTTCTCCTTCCTCCTTCTGTCTGGTTGTGACGTAACAGTGCCCCATTCCAGTAGGAAGAAATGGAAGTCAAGATTGCAACATGTTCCCTCACACACACATAAGCTGACTCAGGTTGGGTGATGCTATCTGATACCTTTGACCATAAGCCTTCACCAATGCTTCCATTGTTTTTGTTAGGGACTTTCCTGCAGTTGAAAGTTCAGTACTAGTTTGTGGCACAATTTATAAAGTTTTCACCATACTGGTGTTACTTTCCACCTCCTCCTAGAACATTTACAGTCTGGAAATTCATGCTTTAACAATGTACCTTATACTGAATTTAAATTGAAATCATTTACTACTGATAATTTCATCCGCTCATGAATATTTCAACCTGATCCTATTGAAATATCGTTGTATTACTCTTTATGAGAAACAAATAATACCTTCCAGTTCGGTTATCACAGTTAGCTCATGAACATCAAGTATTCACATCAAGATCAACTATTTTGTCTCCACAAACTCGTTGTATACTGTTGTGTTCTTCGTGTAAATGATTCATCTTTGTTATACAACACCCATTTAATGTTTATATACACATGCAATAACACACATATATTTCTTTATATGCAGATATTGCATACACGTTACACATTTTCAAACACTCCAATAGTTTATAGCAGACTGCCTTCAACTCCCAAATGAATTACTTCAATAAGTTTCTTTAATTACCTTCTGAAGCTAGTTTTGCCTCCAACTCCAATGACCCCTTTTCTAATTCATCATGGATAGACAGATAAGTACGTTTATTTATTTCTCCCTTGATAGGCAAGTCAGTTTGACTTGAGATAACATCCTCATCCTCCCCTGACTTGTCAGCTTCATCTTCAGACTCCTAGTCAAGCCAGTGTCCAAAATGTTTATCTGTGATGCATGGGCTGAGCTTAATGACGTATTCAATGCACTTTTGTATACCTTGCATCCATTGTAGTTCGTATGTTATTGGACCAGTCTGCTGGAGTCTGAGGTACAGACTGGTACAGCTAGGTCCAAATTACTTTTCATGTTGTTGACACATACCAAAACCAGACCCAATCTACACACTGGAACATCAATTATTTACACCTTCTTCTGTCTTTGAGCAACCTTTTTGGTTGTTTTCTAGTGAACTAGATTAGCTGCAAATAGAAACTTGCTTCTTTGCCATCCTAGACCAGAGATCAGCTATTTATCTGAGTGTCAGTTCCTGAGTACACCTAATTCACTGTATTCACCATAATGGTGGCATCTCAGCCAGTCAATGTCCAGGAACCCACAAGGGAGAGGCCTTGGCCACAACCACAGGTTCTTGTCAGTGAAGCCAAGTAGATTTCACTGCCAATGTTCAGTGGTACGGCAAAAGAAGATCTGGACCATTTTCAGAAGTTTTTGAAGCAGGTGACTGCTTGGAAGTACTGGTTTTAGGATCAGGCATTGGATTGTGGCCAAGTAGGAGTAATGAGTTGGCTCGGTGGGGAATTACACATTCCATAAGACCGAGTTTGAGGGTCCAAAGAAGAGTGCCACTGAAATGCTGGGCTATTACTTGAATGATTTACAATCTCTGCATTGCAAGACATATCCTGCAATGGCTTTGGCAGATCATGAAAACATCCTTTTGCACAAATTCATCAAAAGACTACCAGCCAAATCACTACGACACAGTTTGGTGAGAAGTATATCCTAACCTTAACAGAGGCAGTTTCCATCACAATCAGATATGGAATGATAACTGTGAGATGGTCACAGAAGAGAAAGAAGCCTGCAGTGGCAGATACTGGAGATACACTTAAGATGGAACATCCCACTCAGGTACCTTCCTCATGGTATGCTCAAGCCATTCCAAGGGTTAACTAGCCATCCTGTCACTGTGATTCAACCACATTTGTTTCTAGTACATGGGCACAGCCATCTTGATCCTCTAATGGTTTACATGTTCACAGCATATACTGATGATATCTCTACCTGGACGTCAGTGGGGCAAAATAACAGCTTCTCTTGTGGTATGTTGCGTGACTAGTGGGTGAACTGCCCATATATTGCCAAACAGCAAAACAAGGAAGGCTCTTTGGTTTGACTGATGGTTTGGCGGGTGCTAGAGAACCAGCAATTCAAATACTTTGTTAAGTAGCAAGGTGCTAGATGATGCATCATACATGGGAGGATTTGCTGTGTCCATCATCAGGTTGGTCCTAAAAAGCTATTGTGGCCAAGCAGCTCGAATTAACAGTGGTAGTTCACACATACTTCAAGGCTCCACAGGACATACCAGTCAACATGACCCAACAACTGACCAGACCAGTAAGGCTGAGTCAGTGTCATTGAAGAACAAACAGTACTAACTCTTGAGATGTCCAACTGGAGGTTGCAGCATAAAAAACATTGATGCAGATGTGATCCCCTTTGACAATTACACTATGTACTAAAACTAAAGAAAATATTTCTGGAGCTTCGATTTTTTCAGGGTTGTTCAGACTCCAGAAGTGTCAGGGCAGGACACAGTCCCCAAAAGGCATTGGTCATTGCTAACTTTCTGATCATCAGGTAGAAGGATGTCATCATTGCTATCACTATAGCAATTCAGGTGAGCCAGCTGACATATGAACATCATCACTTCCACCACCAGTGTAGGTCAATGCCATCAATGAAGGGGCATCAATTTCAGTAGCCATTCGGATGAATATAACAATCCCTACCTCGGCAGCTACCAAGACACTACAAGCTAGAGGTCCCTTTAGCAAGTTCAGAGAGAGTTGGGATGGACTTCCCATCTAAACCACCTAAGGCGTTGCTAAATCATCTTATGCTAGAACAGATTTCCATATATAAGTGGCACTGAGAGGAAGTAGCTGTAAAATGGACCAAACATTTTACAACTTCATAATTTATCCTGCCGATCCTCCCGTTATAAATTGAGTCTACCTTCTTAGTGCTTTGAGGAAATCAGTTTAACCTGGAAATACCATATGTTTACCACGATGGTCGTATAGATCACATAATTAACATAATCACTCTAGGATATAAATAACTTTCTTTATCCTTACCTTATATATTCCAACACAAGTCTAAGCATTTTGCACATCATACAGATTTAAAAAGATATATTTTATCTCTAATTTTCTCCAAATTTTATGTTAACTTTCTGTTTATTATTTTCCCACTTTAAGACCTGGTCACCAGTGGCGTAGCAAGGGTTCTCAGCACCCAGGGGCAAAGACACTTTTGGCGCCTCCATCTCTGGAATGTTTTGATTAATTGTTTTGTGACTCATTACCCACTTAATGACAATAACATAAAGAATTAATTACCGCCTT